GTAGAATTTAGCTGTGAACCTGTCTGGACCTGGACTTTTTTTTGGTTGGTAGGCTATTAATTGCTGCCTCAACTTCAGCCCTTCAGCCCTTGTTATTGGTCTATTCAAGGTTACAACTTCTTCCTGGTTTAAGCTTGGAAGGGTGCAAGTGTCCAGGAATTTATCCATTTCTTCCAGGTTTACTGGTTTATGTGCATAGAGTTGTTAGTAGTAATCTCTGATTGTAGTTTGTATTTCTATAGAATCAGTGGCGATATCCCCTTTATCATTTTTTTTCTTATTTTTTTAATTGCATTTTAGGTTTTGGGGTACATGTGCAGAGCATGCAATACAGTTGCATAGGTACACACATGGCAGTGTGTTCTGTCCCCTTTATCATTTTTTATTGCATCTTTTTTATTCTTCTCCCTTTCTTTTTTATTAATCTGGATAGTGGTATATCTATTTTGTTGACGTATTCAAAAAACCAGCTCCTAGATTTATTGATTTTTGAAGGGTATTTTATGTCTCTATCTCCTTTAGTTCTGCTCTGATCTTAGTTATTTCTTGTCTTCTGCTACTCTTTGAGTTTTTTTTTTATCTTGCTCCTCTAGCTCTTTCAATTTTGATGATAGAGTGTCAATTTTAGATCTTTCCTCACTTCTCATGTGGGCATTTATTGCTATAAATTTCCCTCTAGACACTGCTTTAAATGTGTCCCAGAGATTCTGGTATATTATGTCTTCATTTTTATTGGTTTCCAAGACCATATTTATTTCTGCCTTCATTGCACTGTTTATCCAGTAGACATTCAGCAGCCAGTTGTTCAGTTTCCATGAAGCTGTGGTTCTGAATTAGTTTCTTAATTCTGAGTTCTAATTTGATTGCACTGTGGTCTTAGAGACTGTTTGTTATGATTTTCATTCTTTTATATTTGCTGAGGAGTGATTTACTTCCAATTATGTGGTCAATTCTAGAGTAGGTGCAGTGCAGTGATGAGAAGAATGTATATTCTGTGAATTTGGGGTGGAGAGTTCTGTAGATGTCTATTAGGTTTGCTTGGTCCAGATCTGAGTTCAAGTCCTAGATATCCTTGTTAATTTTCTGTCTTGTTAATCTGTCTAATATTGACAGTGGAGTGTTAAAGTCTCCTGATATTATTGTGTGGGAATTTAAGTCTCTTTGTAGGTCTTGTATTGGGTTTGTATATATTTAGCATTGTTAGCTCTTCTGTTGCATTGATCCATTTACCATTATATAATGCCCTTTGTCTGTTTAATCTTTGTTGCTTTAAAGTCTCTTTTATCAGACTAGGATTGCAACTCCTGCTTTTTTTTGTTCTCCATTTACTTGGTAAATCTTCCTCCATCCCTTTATCTTGAGCCTATGTGTATCCTTGAATGTGAGATGGGTTTCCTGGATATAGCACACTGATGGGTTCTGACTTTTTGTCCAATTTGCCAGTCTGTGTCTTTTGATTGGGACATTTAGCCCATTTACATTTAAGGTTAATATTGTAACATGCGAATTTGATCCTGCCATTTTGATGCTAGCTGGTTGTTTTGCCCATTAGTTGTTGCATTTTCTTCATTGTGTCCCTTGCTCTTTACCATTTGGTATGTTTTTGGAGTGGCTGGTACTGGTTGTTCCTTTCTATGTTTAGTACTTCTTTCAGGAGCTCTTGTAAGGCAGACCTGGTGGTTATGAAATCTCTGAGCAATTGCTTATTCATAGGGGATTTCATTCTCTTTCACTTATGAAGCTTAGTTTGGCTAGATATAAAATTCTAGGTTGAAGGTTCTTTTCTTTAAGGATGTTGAAGATTGGCCCTTCTGGCTTGTAGGCTATCTACTGAGAGATCTGCTGTGAGTCTGATGGACTTCCCTTTGTGGGTAACCCAACCTTTCTTTCTGGCTGCCCTTAGCATTTTTTCCTTCATTTCAACCCTGGTGAATCTGATGATTATGTGCCTTGGTGTTGCTCTTCTTGAGGAATATCTTTGTAATGTTCTCTGTATTTCCTGGACTTGAATATTGGCCTGCCTTGATGGGTTGGGGAAGGTTTCCTGGATAATATCCTGAAGAGTGTTTTCCAGCTTGTATTCATTTTCTCTGTCACATTCAGGTACACCTATCAAATGTAGATTAGGTCTTTTCACATAATCCCATATTTCTTGGAGGTTTTGTTTGTTTCTTTTTACTCTTTTTTTGTCTAATCCTGCCTTCCTGTTTTATTTCATTGAGTTGATCATCGACCTCTGATATCCTTTCTTCTGCTTGGTCAATTCGACTGCTGAAACTTGTGTATGCTTTGCCAAGTTCTCGTGTTGTCTTTCTCAATTCCATCAACTTATTTATGTTCCTCTCTAAGCTATTTACTCTCATTAGCATTTCATCAAACTTTTTTTTTTAAAGGTTCTTAGTTTCTTTGCATTGGGTTAGAACATGTTCTTTTAGTTCAGAGAAGTTTCTTATTACCCACTTTCTGAAGCCTGTTTCTGTCAATTAATTAGACTCATTCTCCATCCAGCCTTGTTCCCTTGCTGATGAGGAGTTGTGATCCCTAGGAGGAGGAGAGGTATTCTGGTTTTGGGTATTTTCATCCTTTTTGCACTGGTTTCTTCCCATCCTTGTGGATTTATCTATATGTTGTCTTTGTAGTTGGTGACTTTCAAATGAGTTCTCCAAGGGATGTCCTTTTTGTTGATAATGAAGTTACTTTTTTCTGGTTTTTGTTGTTGTTGTTGTTTTAGTTTTCCTTCTAACAGTCAGAACTCTTTGCTGTAGGACTGCTGGAGTCCAGTCCAGACCCTGCTTGCCTGGGGATCAACTGAGGCAGATGGAGAACAGTATAGGTTGCTGCCAGTTTCTTCTTCTGTTATCTTTGTCCCAGAAGGATACCTGCCAGATGTCAGCCTGAGCTTTCCTTTATAAGGTGTCTCTGGATATACTGGGGTTGGGGAGCTGCTTGAGGACACAGTCTGTCCCTTATGGGAGCTCAAGTGCTGAGCTGTGAGCTCCGCTGTTCCATTCAGAGCTTCTGGGCAGGTAAGTTTAAGTCTGCTGCAGTGGAACTCATAACCGCCTTTTTTCCCCAGGCACTCTGTCCTGGGAAGGTGGAGCTTTGTTTATAAGTTCCTGATGTGCTGCTGCCTTTTGTCGGAGATGCCCTGCCCTGCGAGGAGGTAACCAGGTTACAGTCTGCCAGCAGAGGCATTGCTGAACTGCTGTGGGCTCTGGCAAGCTGCAGTGCGAGCTTCCTTGTAGTTTTGTCTATAGAAGTATATAGTTAGAACTGCCTCAGTAATGGTGGACTTCCTCAGTAATGGTGAACTGCCTCAGTAATGGCTGACTGCCTCAGTAGTGGTGGACTGCCTCAGTAATGGTGGACACCCTTCCCCCCACAGAGCTGGACCATCCTGGGTCCAGCTATTTGGAGGCCAAGTCAGGCAGATCACTTGAGGTCACTAGTTTGACATGGTGAGCCCCCAACATGGTGAAACTCTGTCTTTACTAAAAATACAAAAGATTAGCAGGGCATGGTGGTATGTGCCTGTATTCCCAGCTACCTGGAGGCTGAGGCAGAAGAATCTCTTGAACCTGGGAGGCAAAGGTTGCAGTCATCCGAGATTGCACCACTGCACTCTAGTTTGGGCGACAGAGCAAGACTCCATCTCAAAAAGAAAGATTGGCAAAAAAGGGCAAATGTCAGAAGGAAGCTTTGCTCATGATATTGGCAAAGTGTAAGACTCACTGGGGGCATGACAGGTCTTGCAGAGAGAGTAGAGCCTGAGCTATGGGAAAGAAATTATTCTTTGTGCAGAGGATATGTCCCAAGGAAGTCTTGGGAACAAGCAACTAAGTCAGAGCTGGTCGAGATCTGCTCCATTGTGCAGTAAGGAGAGAGCTCTTGAGAGGGTCTGGCCTTCAGGTGGTCCCTGTGCTGACAAGAGGCAGTCATGCTGGCCTTTGTGTGCAGTGAGGCTGCCAGCTATATAGCCTGGTTTCTGTTGCTTATGGATATGGTCATAGGTCAATGGGAGGTTAGTGTGAGAAGCCTGAGCAGACTATGGCAACCTGTGCTCCTGATAGTCAGTAAAGAGTGTCACATAACAAGGAAAATTCTGAAAATCATTCAGCTTCATATTAGAGTTTGCTGAGCTGTGGCACCTCCTCCTTCCTTTAACAATCTGGACCAATGGTCTAAAAAGCAGAATGTGAAAAAAAATAAAATAAAACTGAAGATACTGTAACAAATGAAACAGGGCTCTGTTTGTCCTTTAAATGTTTGGCTAAGCCTCGTTTGGTATGTGGGTGATTTTTGCCTAGAGTTTTCCTTTCATCCCAACAATTCTGCAAATCTTCTAGGGTAAACTCTTACCGCCTTCCATGTATTCTGTTCCTGGTGGTCTAACAGAGAATTTCAGGGTCAAAGTAAATGACAGGGACCACAGAGAGTTCTCACAGTTTACAAGGCCATGGTCTTGCTGTCAGAGGTCTAAAGGGGCCAGAGACAAGGGCTAGAAAAGAAAGAGAAGGAGCAGAAAAGCTAAGTAAGTTACAGAAATGGATCTAATCTTGTTTGACAAAGGAAACACTGACCTGTACATAGTTTCCTCTGAACCTTTTCTGTGTGGCTTTTTTAAGCAACTGAGAAAGAAATACAAGCAAAAAAGACCCAGAGATAGGTAGATAAATATAGATAGTTGCAGAGACAGATGAACAGACACGCATAGGAAAAAAATGAACTATAAGTAATCATGACATTGCCATATATTTTCCTAAAAAACAAAAAGGCCACTTCTATTGACTCAGTCTTGATTTTCAAATAACAGATTAAACCAATACAGTACATTCAGTTCTTTATTCTATGCTTATTTGCTGAATACATTTTACACCTTTCTATGTACTTATGCATTAAGAATGTATTAAGTACCTACTAGTACTAGAAACTGTGCTAGGAGTAGAAAATACAAAGGTAAATATACAAAGTCTCTTACCTTACTTAGCTGAGAGCCTTTGCCTCAAGGTGTGCTGAACCCGTGGGATGTTTAACAAATGTTGGATTGAGTTGCACTGGTATTGTCTCATCTTCAGTAGGGTTGGGACCTGGGACCTGGGAGCACCTGTTTCACCACTTTCCTGGCATTAACTGAGATAATGCATAACCACAAGTCAGATGATGTATGTGATCCTTTGTCCTTCTTGTTAGAATCTATCTCTAAGCTTTGAATTTGAGAGAAGGAAACACGTCATTGGCATAAAAACCACTAGAGCAGAAGAGTCCAGGTTCTTGGCTCTCTGGCTGAGGCATAAACTTTTCTTAGCAGAAAGTCACCACCTTCATTACCAACACTACTCTGTCTTCATTATTTGCCGGATAGACTCATGTGGTGAATGCCACTAAAATGAGATTAGGTTTTTAAAAAAATTATCGACACTAGGATTCCTCTCCCTGCCCCACCAGATGCATACATGTTTGGAAAGAGGTGAAGACTAAATGTGCTGTCGATATCGAGGTGGGATGCAGTTGACAGCTGCACTGTAGTTTCATATCATCAAGAAAAGCAAACTCAAGTGGATAGGGCTGTGTTTATCCTTTAAAGTAGAAAAGTAAACTGATTTGAAGTAACAGTTCTTTCCTTTGGCATACTTTGTGACAGTTTTGCCTTATTTTCATATAAGTGGACCTCATTTTTCATGTTGGCTTTTATCTTTATATTTATGCAGGATGTCTAAGAAGTGTGAGGTTCCAGGGGTATTTTCTTATGGTTTGTGCAATTTGTTAAAAAACTGTGGATGAATAACAGTTTGAAAATTATATAAAGCTAAAGCCAGTCTGTCCAGAATTTTTTTTCTCATTTAAAAAATTCACTGAAAGTCCAGAATTTTTCATATCACTACACCTTATGCCAAGACTGACCTCAAAATGATCAATTTAATTAACGCTTTCCAGATTTCAAGCACCATTTAAAGGAAAAAAAAATCAAAATACTAAGTGAAGAACAGATATCAAGAACCAATTTTAGATTTAGTTTTCTAGAAAATAAAAGCTAAAAAAAGTAACAGCAGCTACCATCAACTGCCACCATTATTTTCCAAATGACCTTTGACATCACAAAAGGAAGAAGAAAACAGCTTCATACAAATGGACAATCCCTTCAATTTAATCAATTCAGAGTTTTCAAAATCTCACAACATTGGCTTATGTTTCCCATTTTGCAACAAACCAACGACAGATTCTCATGGATCACTGAGGGAGCAGCCTGTGGTAACTCCTGCCCAGCATCACGAATTGCAGTAATCTGGAAGGAGAAAGTCTGGCACAGAGGTCGAGTCCCACAGGCCTTCCTAGACAGAATCCAGACTCTAGCCATGAGTAAATCTTGGATGTTACTCTGAGCCCCAGTTTCCTCATTCATAAAATGGAGTTACTGGGAACTACTGGACTTTACCCTGGGAACTACTATGTGTGATCAATCAGTTAATGGACGGAAAGCAACAAGCAGAGGGCTTTGTCACAGGCCCACTACAAGAAAATTTTCTTTATCTCCTTCTCTGTTTAACAATAAGGCCTGAACCTTACTCCTTTTTTTCCCTAGAACATCTTACAGTGAGCTTTGTATTAAGGAAGTAGTCAATGAAGATTTGCCGCATTCAATTTGAATGAATGTGACTCAAAATGCAGTGTTTGTTATGCCTTGTTTATAGTAAATCACCTTATTAAATTTATAATAAATCTCTTATTTAGTAATTACTCCTTGTCTTGTCTCCCTTACAAAGTCTGTGTAACTTTTGGATTTAGGGATGATATCACTCATTTCTCTGCTATTACCTTCCTCCCAAGTACCTGGCACAGTATAGGTTGTATCCTAAAGGCTTTGTAAATACTTGATAATTAGTTGCTGATTAAAGGACACAGTCTTCCCTTTGTCTGGGTGCACTGAATTGTGTATGTATGTGTGTGTCCATGCATCCATTCTTATGAGCCTTTTTTTTTTTTTTTCTAGAAATCTCACTCCAACTTGGAACTTGGGTGATAATTCTGAGTTTACAGACATTCAGCAAGGATGATCAGATTGCATGTTTGGAAAAATCTATTTCAAGTGTGATAGCTTGTGTGCCTAGGGCAAGCATTCTTTCTTTTCCTACTAATAACTCAACAGGGACAGCAGGCAATAGCACTGCTTACAGGTTCTTCATTCTTCACAGGTGAGGACAGTATTACCTTGTATAGGCAACTGCATTTTACTTAGTGGTGATCTGATTACCTTGATCTTAAGCATTTTAACTTTGCACTATCCATGCCCACAGAGAGTTGGCAAAATGAGAAGGGCCTGTGGAAAATACACATCTAATTTTATATTGCAGTTGTATTGGTAATTGCCACTTAACCAGCTTTACTGCTACTTCTAGAGGGAAGTGAAATTACATGCACTAATAAGATTCTGGAGAAATGGATATGATACATAATACAAGAGTCTTCCTTGATGAAATAGCTAATACTAAGTACATATATGGAAATCTAATAAATACATTTTTTATTAAGGATAATTTTTCAATAGTCAATAACAGAATCACTGGGAAAGACCATCTACGGAGTGTATGCTATGTTCCTACATCTTTCTGAATTAAAATGGTATTTTTCTCTTTAATGTATTTTTGGTGAAGGTTCATCAAGACTGGGATGTGGGGAAAGAAAGGATGCTCAAAATACTTTCTAAACCCTTCGAGACTTAGAGTCTTCACAGTGACTTAGATCTAACCATATCAAAACTTAGGAAATTCTAAGAAAACGATTCCATGATATTGGTAAATTGAACATGATTACTATGATTAGTGTTTTCTTTTTATCTTATTAGATATCATAGTTTGATTAAACTGTTTTGAAAAGCCAACTCACTGCAGTGATTTATAGCAGTGGTGTTAAATCATGTTGAGTTTTTGAAAGCATCCTCTGTGAACCAAATGAAAAGTACCTGTGTTTTCTGTTATCCAGTTTATTGTTGAATACTATTTATTGAGTGTCTGCTCTGCTTTCCATGTAGCTTGATGCAGTGGTTCTAATCTCAGTGAATTAGCCCTCGTGTCCATTCTTGCTTAGCATATCAGGGCACCAAAATGCAAGTACAAAAGTAAGTAGCTATACCTATAGATAGGAATGGAAGCACCAAATTAAATATAACTAATTTCTATCAACCCCTTACTCAGATCTTTTTTTTCCTTCCCCACCCTTCAGCTCTTAATATTGGAACTAAATGACTTTTTAGGGGGAAAAGGAGAGTTCACCTTTTTTTTTTTTTCAGAAATTATAGGCATGCCCTGAACCACTCTAATTTGCTATTAACAATTTGTTATGCAGCTCTCATCTTTGAATTTATCTAAACCCTTCCTATGCCTATTTCTACTTTCAGTTCATATAAATAATTGACATAATAAATTCCACATGTTAACTAATTTGCAGTTAAAAACTTCCTTTCAAACTTCGGCAATGTTCCCCCAGATTTGCTATCACAGGATAGAGTAAAAAACAGTGTCTCTAATCATTATCCCCACTTCACTTCCATCACTTTCAAACTGTAGTTTTATAATCTTTAAAATGTTCTTGGCATTGAAAACAACCACAACAATAACAACATTTTATGGAAGTGATTTTTTGAAAGATAACTTTATCTAAATGTAAAATTCAGCCAACACTTATAAAATTGATGCTGGTGGCCAGGCAAGGGGATACAAGGTAGAACAAAATATAGTTCCTGTCTTCCAGGAGCCCTCAGTTGAGCCAGAGAGACAAAGTATAAACTGATGAGTATAACACAAATACAACTGAGTTGTGTAAAATGTTATGGTTGGCAACATAGTTGGAAGAGAAATTACTCCTGAGAGGTAGAAATCAGTGAGTTATTCAGAACTGAGGTGATACTTGAGTCTTAAAGGGAGAGAAGCCTTGTCACAAAGATAAACAGTGATAAGCAATTAGTACAGGGGTTAGGACATGGGTTTGCAGTCAAAGAAAGCTGCATTTGACTTGTATTTCTGCTGCTTCATAGATGTGTAACCTTAGGTAAATTGCTTTACCTTCTAAACCTAAGTTTTCCTCTGAAGCACCATGAAAATAATGATGATGCACCTCTATTTTTGTTGAGAGGATTACCTGCTATATGTATGCATAGTTTGAATGTATGTGTTCCTCCAAAATTCATATGTTGGAACCTAATACCCGGCATGGTAACATTAGGGAGGTTGGGGAGCTTCTGGGAAGTGATTAGCTCATGAGGACTCTGGCCTCATGAATGGATTTATGCCCTTATAAAAGAGCTTGAAGGGAGCACCTAAATGCCTCTTCACCTCTTCCACACTGTGAGGAACCAACAGCACACCCTTACCTAACACTGAATCTGCTGGCACTTTGATCTTGGACTTTCTAGTCACCAGATCTGTGAGAAATAAATTCCTCTTATTTATAAATTATCTAGTCTATTTTGTTATAGCAGAAGGAATAGACTAAAATAGTGTGTAAAACCTTTAGCATTGTTCCTGCTACATTTAAGCATTTATGAGATAACTACCATCATCGTCATCATAACCATCATCATTTTGACTATTCAGATAGAGATCCAAGTTCTGTCTTCACCTAAAACCCTTAGAGTAACCTTCAGTTGTCTTTTGCTCTTTCATGGTTCCTAACGAAATGTGTCTAGAGCCTTAACTCTGTGAATGGACTTGATGAATATTTACTGGAGGCTGAAGGCTGGAGTCTGGGGCTATGGGGACACTGAGAAAAACACAAAGACATCACAGAGCATGCTGCTGAAAGCATGGGCCGTAAACTCTATATTTGAATCACCAAGGACACTTGTTAAAATTCAGATTGGTAGACCAACCCTGTGTACCTACTTAATAAGAGTCTTTGGGATGAGACTCCAGAATATATTTAATGAGCTCCTTAGGGCAGTTCATATACATACATTCTAGCATATGAACATATTTTTCTATGTTAGCTCCAGTTTGCTCAGGATCATTTGTTTACTAGAGGTTTTTCAAAAGCCCTTGAGTTCTTTTTTCTTTACAGCTTCTCACCACAACTTCCTGACAGAATCATTTCTAATTTCATACAGTTTCCTTGGGTACTTTCTTACCTTCAACTACAAGTTACTCTAAGTGAAACTTCAAATTCTTATGCAGTAGATACTTTGCCTTATCTTCCCGCTTAGGCATCCTGCATCTAGCTTGATGCAAATCTATTGCTAATATCTCTATCCTTCATTTGTTAGATATTAGAGATTTCTAATATCTGTTTCTCTATCTCTGACAGCTTAAACACACACCTCTTTGGGGGAAAAGCTCCATAAACTCACACTGACTCCTTGTCAGTGAGAAATTCAAGTGTGTTTATTGTTGTACAAATCTTTATCTGCAACATGGTTTTGTCCAAGGTCCTTTCCATAAAAAATTGTTTTCTGTTCTATTAGTTCTATTCTAGTCTATTAGTTCATTTTGCATTACTATAAAGGAGTACCTGAGACTGGGTGATTTATAAAGAAAAGAGGCTGTCTGTCATAGTCTTCCCCAAAGAAGGATAGTGGGACATGAATATGCATGTAGGAATGCTGCATAGGTATCAGTTGCAACAGTCTTATACTTCACCCTTTCTGTCTTAGGGACCATTTATTGGCTACAGAATTAAATAATTATGCCTTAACTCTTTTGTATACATAAGAATTTTACAACTATTTGGTGGTTTCTTAAACTGAGAGCTTTCAACCCTTCCAGGAATAGTGGATAAAGATATGCAGAATAACTATGCAAAATCAAAGATCCTGACTTTAAATTTGATGCCTTCAAAGGAGAAGCCAAGGGGTATAGTAAAAAGACCTTGATTTAACATCTGTTTCTCAGGGTCAAGAGAGTAGGGTTCAAGTGTGGCTCCAACTCTAGCTGTAGGAATAGATTCAATTCACTTTGTGTTTCAGGTCTTCGGAGTATCAGTGTTAGGGGTTGAATCAGAGGGTTCCTAAGGGTCTTTCCATATTTACCATTCTATGTCCGTGTGTAAGCTTATAATTCCTCCCTATTTAGAACTCACTGAACTGTCAATATTATGGTATTGTAATTGAAGGACAAATTATTGATATACACCTTGAAGTTAATATCTGTGATTATATGTGTGTGTGTGTGTGTAGTGTTAATTATGAATTTAAAAAAAATTAAGCATGTTAAATTTAAGTTTATTTGAGCAAATAACAATGATGAATTAGGCAGCACTAAGAACCAGAAGAGACTCAGAGATCTTTTCCCAGCAATGTTAACAGTGAGCTTTTTTTGTTTGTTTGTTTCAGACGGAGTCTCACTCTGTCACCAAGGTTGGAGTGCAGGGACTCACTGCAACCTCTGCCTCCCAGGTTCAAGTCATTCTCCTGCCTCAGCCTCCCAAGTAGCTGGGACTGCAGATACCTGACATCATCCCTAGATAATTTTTGCATTTTTAGTAGAGACGGGGTTTCACCATATTGGCCAGGCTGGTCTCAAACTCCTGGCCTTGTGATCTGCCTGCTTTGGTCTCCCAAAGTATTGGGATTACAGGCATAAGCCACTGCACCCAACCAACAGTGAGTTTTTATAAAACTGAACATGAAAGCAAAGTAGAGAAATCACCTAATTGTCTATCGCTAGGTAACTGCCTTACTTGGGGATGGTGTGATGAGTTGGCTGCCTATGACCGATAGAAAACCAGGCTATTTATTCGTTACAAAAACATAATAGTCCCAAGTTAGGTTTTAGTTTATTTACTTACCAAGTTAGATTGTGGTTTCTTAGGTAGGAACCTAAAGTATGAGAACAGGCTCAAATTAATGGTCTCCTGCTTATTTAATAATAATATATATTTTTATATGGTATTTATATATTACTTTATAGTTTCTACATTTTTACATACCCCAGTTTTAGAATAAAAACAATGCTTTGAGACAGGTTTTACAAAATTATTGTCTATTTTTCAAACAGAGAAACTGAAGCTAAGAAAGTTAGATGATTCACTCCATGCCACACTGTTAATACATGACAGAGATGGAACTTAATCTAGTAATTTTTGCTCCATGCCACATAGCTGCTCAGATTTGAATAGAGAAGATAATGTTTCTTTGAGCATAAAGTAGGCTTAACAACTGTGAAGCCAAAACTTCACCCCAAGAAACAGCACAATGAACTATAGTATCTAATGAAGTTAACAAAACTACAACAATCCATGGCTCTCAAGAAGATGGGCAGGTCTGTTCAGGCTGCTAGTATGTAAGATAAAAATGAAAATATCTAACATTTTTATACAACATTGCAGTTTTCAAATGACATGCAAGTGTCTTTTAAAAAAAAACTCAAGCAAATTATTAAAGGCTGAAACTGAAGCTCAGATAAATGCCATCAGATAGAGAGATTCCAGGTTTTTTGACTCCCAGACTCGAGTCCCACTCCACATGTGTTCCTAATATCTCTATCCCTCCTTCGATCACTCCCCTCTTTCTGTGAATATCTTATCCCCCACTTCACTGCTTGCATGTCACAGTTTGCCTGAGACTGACAAATTTCCCAGGACATAAAATGTTCAATGCTAACTCTGTGAAATTCCCAGGCAAACTGAGATAAGTTGGTGACCCTACCACCACATTTTTAAAGTTCTGACACATAATGGCACAATTCGCATTTTACACCAGGCAATCAATGGTTAAGTCCACAGGTCTCTGGGATCACTAAGTGACCCATCTTGTTATCAAGATGAAATAGGAATAATAACGATAATTGTGTAACCAAGATCTTGATTATGATACTAATCAAAACATTTGCCATAACAATGTCAATTATCATTAAATAGCATTTCCTTACTTACAATGTGGGAACCAAGCCAACAATATAATAAACCACCCACGATGGAGTGAGGAGATGTTGTCTTTGTTCTGGAAAAGGACCACATAAAACAAACTCTAGAAAATTATTTATAAACTGATGTGATAATTTGTGTGTGTTTTTGAAAATTGTTAGGTCCTTAAAGTGCACTTTCGTTAATTCCAAAACAGAAAATGTCACTCACCCAGAACAGAAATTTTCTATAAAATGTAGCCACTGGAAGACATGATACTCTTTCCAGTCATATATAGAAAACAACTTTGTAGAATTCTTATTTCTATTACTTATTTTATGACATTTATATAGCTATCAAATGCTTTGAAACTACCCTGACTATAGATGTATTTCTCTTTTGTAGTCTCTCAATTCCAGTGTCATTGGTGAATTTATTATAGTACTGAACTTTTTAATTCCTGTCAGATTAGATTAAGTCAAATTACTTCTCATTCTAGTATTGATAAAGATCTTGTTTGACAGCAAGAGTGACCTCTGGTTTCCTCCCAAAGACATCTTATCTGCAGAATAAATTGTCAACTCTTTCTTAAAGGATGGCTGATACACATCTTAGGTGTTTCTCCTTAAAGAGAGTCAGAGAACACGAGGGAAAGGGCTGAAAATCATGGCTCAGCACATCTAAGTTAGACACAAGGAGGGACTACCTGGTTTAATGTTTGGGAAATCCTGGGATTTATTCCTAACTTATGCCAAAGAATTTCCTTACATGGAAATATTAAGTAGAATCTATAAAAACTAGGTAGATTTGAGAACAGTTGTGACCAAAGTTGTAGTGAATCGTAAAAGTTTGATTGGAGGGTAAGCAGTGAAAGTTGGGGGATAAGAAATTCGTGGGAAGAGGAGAGTGGTTACATTTGAAAAGGTTATGATGTCATGCATCTCTAGATTTGAATGTGTTTGGATCTAGATTCAAAGCTGAGTAGCATCTCTAACCAGCTTCTTTCAGTCAGGCTGCTAAATTTCTAAACTTTCATATTATTTATATGAGATTTTTTTTCTGCTTTCTTAATACAATATGGGAGTAAAAACAATAATAGATATTAATAACTAGTTGCATGCCCCTATTTTTTTTTTAGACGAGAATACTTGGGTTCAAAGCTGTCAAATGGTTGACTCATAGCTATACAACTGGGAATTCGCAGAGGATTTCCAAATCCAGGCTCCTTGTCTCTTTTCACTGTGCCTTTTCATTGAACCTCTCTTCTGATCTCATTTATTACATTTAAAAGGTGTTTTCTCCTCACTATGTGGTAGTCTTACTTCTATACAAATAATCATGGCAGGTTGCTGGATTAAAAAAAGCTATGTCATCTGTCTTATAGATTTCCTATTCTAGGTTGGAAATTCTGGTAGTGCTCTGAGTCTCTAGTCTACGAAGTTCTTGATGTTCTTGATGCTGATAACTCATTTCACTCATGTTCAGAGTGAGGGGACCACTTGGTTCTGCAGAGTTATTAGAAAATAAAATGTATATCCCCAAATAGGAAGCACACAAAGGCTATGATGCAAATTGTGTGAATAGACACAAAGTGTGCTACAACATAATAAAATTAATTTTGAAGAGATATAACGGAAGGTAGATGTTCAAAGGAATATTATTCTGTGTATCCAGTCAAATGATGTTTGTACAGTGTTTGGACCCCACCTTAAAAGGCACCATCAGTTTCAGTTTCTTGAGGCACAAGGGCTATCAGTTTGAGAATCATAATCACATCTAAATTTAAATGAAGAAAACTGTTACCAAGAAGGATCATCTATCTTTTTTGCAGATATCCGCCTTGCTCATTTCTATCCTGTTACATGCTGTGAGCAAAATATTTTTGCTTAATTCAATCAAATTGAATGTAATAGATGAAGAGTTGATGCCATACAACTCTTTACTATTACTCAAAGTTAAATGTTTTCACAGAGAATACATTTGAAACTACTGAAAAGAATTCATGGTCTGAAAACATTCACAGAGAGGAATGACAAATGCATTTGCCATAATTGGGAAGCATTTTTGGAATGTATGCATCACTTCAGAGTGACAGATTTGAAAGGTAACGTTTTTTGGTTCTGGTGTATTTGTTGAAACCTCAAACTGCATTTGCTATACATGATAATTTTCAAATTGTTTGTGTTGAAATATGGATGGCAGGTTTATCAAGTGAGTTAGAAAACATGTTAACATTTCAATCTTATCAGGCTCTGAAAATTATAGCAGTGACTTTAAATTAAAGGTTTGATGACATACTCTTGTTTTTACTAGTTTAAAAAATATACAATAAAATCGGTCTTTTTCTGAGATCAGGAATTAGACTCTAGTTGGTCAAATATCCACATTTTGGGATGGAATTATGTTCAATCACCCTCTCTAGTTTCAGATATTCTTAATGGCTGGTATAGAGATGTGTTTGATTAAAATACCAGTCAGCTAAATTAACTACTTCTTAATTCATAGTTTGTTATACAGAAATCACTCAGCCTCTAGAGTTTAGTCAAATGTCTCTGAAAAGATGTGTGTAAGTACTAAAGACACATTGTATATGTGTGCAGAGCTGCACTGAGCTTTGCATGGTGGGTGGCATTCCATCCCTGAGCACACACTAAAACCCAGAAGGACTCAGGCAAAAGTGTGATAAACATAAATGCTCCACACATTTCCAAACATTTGTTGATAGCAAGAGAAGAGGTACTGACTTCGGCTGAAAACTTTTGATCAGACAAAAATAATATAAAATACGAAAAGATAAAGAAGAGCTGATGAGGGGTTATATAGCCTAGAGAAAATTATTTATCCCTGGGCCTCAGTTTCTTCATTTGTGTAATAAGGTTAAAAATACGGAACCGCATAAGATTATTATTAATGTGATAATAATTAATGTGATAACACATATAAAATTCCTAGTGAATCTCCTCATAAATAATAAGCAAAGAGTATATAATTAATTAATTGCTATTGCTTCTTTCTTTTCCTAATTTTAAATGTTCTTTTCATAGAAAAGGCTAGACTTGATTGCTAGGCAAGGAGGGCTATTGTGGCAGATGCATCCAGACATGAAACAAAGGGCCTCAGAAAGTGGGATCGGGGATGTAGCTGTTTTAGAAATGGAATATATTCCTACAGCAGATTTGAAAATTTCACTTGATTGAAATTTATATGCATAGTTCACTTACTGAACATTTAATTTTCACTTGAAAAATAAGTTTTTCTTGATGTCCAGCAAAAAGTTTTCAATGCATAGGTTTTATCTGTTGCAGATTGGTTATAACCAGCAGTAACCTCTGAGGAGTAGATATGACCCTCAGATTTAGATATTTCAAACTGCTCTTCCTGATAGAAAGAAAAAAATAGACTAAGTAGTTACTGGTCACTTTTCTGAAAATTTGGCTTCTAGAGGAGCAGCAGCCTTAGGTAGGTGTCTTTCCAAACTCTCATGTATGTTAGTTATTTATCAGTTTTGAGTGTTATAAATCCTGTATTCTCTTATCTAACTCTTCAATTCTGTGTGTTTTTCTAAAACACAATTTCATGTACTGGAACTGCAGGAAGTACTTTTTTTCCCAATAGTGTTTAACTTGTTATAACTTCTTAAACCTGAAAGAGTTTGCCAGAGATTCCAAAGTGCATCAAATATCAGTGTCTGATTCTTTGTTGCCTCTTCAAACATACCTTCACAGAAAGGTCAAAATGTTCTCAGCCTTCAGTGTCTCTTTGGAAATGGAAGCATTTCAGAGAAGAAACTGTTCACTACAGGATTCATTGTTTCCAAGATTCAATAAACACTTACTGAAAATCCACTTGTGCTAGGCCAAGGTCAGGAAAACCAGGATGGGTCTCATGGACAAGCTAGTGAAACAGATAAAGAATAATAGTGGTAACAATGACTCTAGTAATAATGCTTATTGACTCAAATGTTCTAGGTAGTTTTCTGAGCACATAAAAGCAATAAACAATTTAACTCTCCCATTAATTATATGAGGGGCTTATCATTATTGTTTCTGCTTTACAAATAAGTAATTGAGGCTAATGGAAATATATTAATAACTTATTTAGTGTCAGGCCAAGCAATCATTTAATGGTGGCTCCAGGATTTGAACCCAGGCAACTTGGTTTAAGACTTTAGCCCAGAGAAAGGTGTGATTTGCAGCCTAGAGGACCAGAGGGGGAGGTTTCACAGAGGAAGTGCCCAAAGGATAAACAATGTCCTCCAGGCAGGTAAAAACAGAAAATGGTATTGTAGGCAGAAGGAACAGAATTTAAATAGGCTTGCTTACAAGACACAGCACTAAGTGTACTGTGGCACACTCAGATGGATAATTTGAGAAAGTTTAATACAGGGACTGATTTAATAGAATGAGTGGAATTTAAGGAAACCAACAAGGGGTGATACAATATCCCTAACAGCTAGTAATAACAGGCAGTTATTATCACCCCAAGGCCTAAAAGGAGCCTTTGGTAGAGGAATGTAGCTGACGCACAGCAACCTGGCATGGGGGGAGCAGGGAATACATTTCCAAATTCACCGTCCACCCCCCACTCTAAGCTTGTACTTATGCTGTCCACTGGCTGAAACCAGCTGAAAAGCCTGAGGGCCAGTGAATCCCTGAATGCTGTCCGTAAGGGTCAGCCTCCTGGGTGAAGAACAGAGTAAGTGTTGTGAACAGTGGGTCTGGACAGGCAAATGGACAACCTCCAAAATATAAAACCAATCAGTTATGAAAAAGTTTTGACATATTTTTGAATGGTTTTGGACAAACTTAACTTTTGGGTAATTTCCAAAGGTCAAGTGCATTGACTGACAGTAGAAAACCTATGTCTTTCCCTAGAGAAAGAAGATCATAAAACCATAGTTAGTTATGTTTGATGGGAATCTGTTCCCAGATGTTTCTGAAATATGACTCCATACAAATACAGTAGTAACTTAATACTAGCTCACATTGAGCAGGTTCAAAAGCAAACTTTTTTCAATTGCCCTTAACTTAATTAATATTTTCATAATTAGCCAGGAGACTTCCTGAGTGAAGATGAGATAGATGAATACTTTCAGCTATTAGCGAATTATCTGGGCATAGAAACAGCCCTGTGTTTCTTTCAAGCAGAAAAATAAAATAATTTACTTTCATCTGCTTCTAATTCAAAAGTAGACAGAGTGAATTTGATTCAACATTATAAAAAAAATCACCTTTGGCTGAGATCATGCATGGAAAAATTCAACCCCAAAGGACAGAATGTTGGAACACAATATGCAAGCCAAAAAGTGGGCTGAATAAAAAGGAAGAAAGAATATTCCATTTGAAATCTGTAAATAATATGAGCTTACCTATTCATTTTCACTTTTGCATATAATCTAAGAAGAGGATTATAGTACCACCACCAAGGAAGATGGAAGACCTACCCCTATGGACAAGCTATCAGAGCTTGGATAATTGAACTACTGAATAACAATTATAATAGCTAACATTTGTATTTGTCCAGACAATGTAATAAGCACACTCTCTCTACAAAGTAAGTTATCATTAGCTTTAATTTATGTATAAGGAAACTGAGGTTTCTAGAGATTAAATGACTTTTTCAGGATTCCATATCCAATAAATGATATTGTTGAACTATGGACTCAGGTCTTTCGACTCTATAAGCCAGCATATTTATTTAAGAAAGGGAGAATAAATGACAGGCTAATACTACAATAGGCATACTGACCTTCAATGATATAAATTAATTGATTCAGATATCCGGTGAACTTGAAAAGATAGCTGATGACTTATCACTTCTGTGATGGATATACAGTATCTTTCTTCCTTTAGTTTCTAAGTTACATGCATTTCCTGAGTAGAAATCAGAACCACTGGTAGACTGTAAAACTGCTAAGATAACCGAAGGTAGGCCAAAAGCACAGCATTTTTAAAATGTGGGATATATGAGTGGCCATGACTAGCCAAAGGCTGACCTTGACTTCAGAAGTGTTTCTTAGAGAAAGGTGCCTCAGGAACCTTGTGCAGTGGGATCCATGCTTGTCTTGTGAGCTAACCAGGTTCATGGTATTCCCTGGTATGCCTATTTCTCATCAAATGATGATCAATCAATCAACTCAAGGTGAAAATATGTACTAAACCTTGTAGACTTGGGATCAATCAATTAATACAGTTAAAATATATATTAAATCAATTAAAATTTCAGACTAAACCATCTCTTAAGGTTAGGGTATTTATATTTGTTCACCTTATCTAAAACTAGGAATCCCATATATCTGCTTTTCTGGGATTAGGTAAAACTGTCTTGGGCTTATAAAAAGCCCCCATAACATAATAGTTATTGAGTTTTTGACTGCATGAGGGAAATGTTTCCATGTTCACCCAATCCATATTTTCATGGTTAATTGACCTTAATCAGCTCCCCATTCAGATTTTATATTTATATACAGTATTAAAGAACACTTATTAATATATCAAGTATTTTTTGTGTCAGTAAAGTAGTATATTGTCTGTACTTTTTTCCCCTTCTTTGTTTACACACACACACACACTGCGGGGGCAAAGCGATGGTCTACAAAAGAACAATCCTCAACAGGAATGCTGTAAGGAGAGGCAGGGAGTATCTTCTCTTGGCTTTTTATAGCAGGTTATACTCCTAGCATCTTGATAGATACATGCATTGAGGTACCTTCCTTATGTTTGTCTGGGGAGTGTGAAGCAATCTAGAGTTGAAGGGGACCATTTGACCCTGACATCAGGTCTCCTGGTGTGCTTTGGTGTTGCCCCACTATTCTACTGAATCCTTTGTAAAAGCAGAGGCATTATCTCCAGAAGAACACACACGAGAGTGTACATTATGTTACCTATGAGGGAAAGATGAACCCATGGTTTGTAAATAAACATGAGATGATTTTCAGGATGATACATGGTGTCTCAGGCATGGAAGCTTAAGAGTTGGGTAGAGTCCTTGTCTGAGGGATTGGGGCTGTCTTAAAGGACGCACACAGAGACTACTGAGAGAGCTAAGTCTGGAATAGTGCAAGCCTTCAGATGAAGGAAGAAGGAGAGTATTCCTTATAGACAAGGAATGAGGAGTCAGGGTTTTCCATTGTAGGGTTAGAAAATAGGAAGAGAATGAATTAATAAGAGAGTCAGGGATGTAAACAGGCAAAAAGGAGCTCCCCAAAGAACAACTGAACCTCTTTTTCTATTTCCCAGTTTTACTTTTGTTCAGCCTTGTCTGTCAGGGCAGTACGGCCTCTATGGTAATTTCTGACTAAGGTATGTTTCTTTAATGTTGTTTAGTAAAAGGAGATTGAACGTTAAGAGACATGAACTCAAATATTATTTCTCTCTAACTTTGGGACTTTCCATTTGATTACTCTCTCAGCTTGCACCTTTTGAAATTACGATGAACATCTGCCCTATCTCAGTATTGCAAAGTCAAAAAATGTCAAGTGACTGAAAAGCATAAAGTGTTAGATGGGTGTAAGAGTAGGTATGATTTAAAAATTTTCCTTCAAATTCTCTTAAGATTATTTGTTTAAGACTGTTTGATCACTACAGACATATTCTATTTTTATACAGATGCTGTGTTCACTGCATGTATGTGTACGTATGAACACAAAGAAACACATGCAGTTTACTCTTTCTCCTTATATGAAAAATCATTATTACCATTTAATAGGATAAAAACAGAAAAGCAGTTTATAAGAGTTTAAGCAACAGGATTATAGGAAAAGATAACATGAAAATAAACTAGAAAATGAAAATTTTTTATAAGTAACTTTAAAATCAAAGCACTTATAAGGTATTTGCTTTTGAGGTTTTTAAAACTAATCATGTGAGGAAGTTAACTTTTGTTACTTAGCTTCCACTGGTGGGTCTCCATAGGAAATAACTGGAACAATCTATGGAACCTCTTTTTTTTTTTCTGTAGCTTCTAGGCTCTTTGGTAAAGTCAGTAGAAACACTGCCTCATCAATAAAATATGAATAACCATTTCCATTTTCTGTCCTATAATCTGTTGTTTATTTCAGGGTCAATGTATTATCAAATGTGGAATCTACAGTTCTCTTATATGTAATTAGAATGGCAATGATTTAACCCAGCTTATCTTATTTTCAAGCTGTCAGCAATCAGGGATATGGTACCAGTATGTGATGAGCATTTTAGAGAAGTTCCCTCAGAAATGAGAGACTCATGCAAAATATAATCCATGGAAATGATTTTTCTTTTCAAAAGTTAAAACAACATGAGCATGAACTTTAAAAACGAATTTCCTTAAAATGTATAATCTAATATAAATTTTATGTCCGGGGTTGTGAAAATCACAATATGATTTAGAGTGAAGTATTCAAACAAGAAAACAAGGATATAAGGAATGATGAGACGGATAGAGTAAGGAAGTTAGGCGTCACAGAAATGTAGAAACTAGGCGATGGCTGAGACTTCCCTGTGGTATGCAGTGTAAGGCTAAGTGTGTATTTATGTATACTTGTATTATATTGCATAATTAGGAACTGGGACCGTCAATTAAATTGCACTGTCACCTGAGTAATACGATTGTTCCTATTACTGGATAAACTTACTGGATTTAAATATTACATAAATTGACACAACTTGATTATGACACCATCTTTACAATTGTGATACTGAATTTGCTACATGTATTTGAAGGATGGTTACATATATTTAAAGGACCTTACCTGATCCATTAAAATATATATATAGCTACATATATTTAAAGGACCTTACCTGGTCCATGTGCTAATATTGCATGGCAGACAGCTGCTGATAAGGTATTATTCTCCCTCATCAATTAAAATAGAAAATATCTAATTCTTTGGGACATATAAGATGCCAGAAAGAAACCTGGCATTCTTCTCTGCCATCCACAT